CACTAATCCATCCATCCTCGCTAACCTGCACCAAAAAAATCACTTCCAACAACGCCCGCCCGCACGACCTCTCCCCTCTCCTCCCAACACCCGCACGACCTCCCCCACCCCCCTTCCACCTCCCAACGGACACCACACCACGGGAGGGCCTCCGTACGCCCATCCTCCCCGCGCCGTTCGCCGCCCTGCCATCGCCGCTGGAGCCGCCCGTCGCGCCCTTCGCCGGGGGTCGCCGCATCCTACGCCGCGGGAGCCGCCGCCCTTCGCGCCCTTCGCCGCGGGTCGCCGCGGGAGCCGCCGCGCACGATCCAGCGGCCTGGCGAACGCGGACGCGCGCGATCCAGCGGCCCGGCGGCGCCCTCATCCCTTGCCACTCTGGTCGCAGGTCTCCTTCCTAACCACGAAGTGGGTGCACGGGGGGTGGGCTCCGGCGAACGCGGCCGCGCTCCAGCCCGCGGCGCGGCGGCGCCCGCTCCGCCTCTCCTCTCCGGCCGCACCGTTCTCCCCCCTAACCATGAAGTGGGTGCACGCAGGGCGGGCTCCGGCGAACGCGGTCGTGCGCGGGTGAGCACCGGCGAACGCGACGGCGCCCGCATCCCTCGCCTCTCCGGTCGCACGTCTCCTCCCTTCCTACGAAGTGGGCGCACGCGGGGTTGGCTCTGCCAACCGCGCCAGGAGCTCTGCTTCCGCAACGGCTGCATCTACATCAAGCTCGGCTAGCACATCGCACAACTGGTATGGAACGAAATTCTTAACTCTGTGGATACGCCTGAATTCGCTTTGGATTCATGTCAAGATTGCTCTTGATTGTTTGTATGTTGACTTTCCTACTTCTCTTTTCAGCAGGCTACTTGAATTTTAGGCGAGACGGCAGGGCTCACAAGCATAGCTGTAGCATTCCTGAATCTCACATACACAGTTAAGAAATATTCTCCCGCTCGGAAAGTCAGTTTTGTGCACTTGTTTTCTAGCTAGCCGCTGCATTCTTTATAGCCGAGAGAGATCGTTTTACTGCATGATGGTCAGGTGTAGCTACCATTAGCCTTACTGGAGCAAATCAACATTTCACAGGAATTTCATCATAAACATCGGACCCACATACACTCGAAATATAACATTCTTCTCTGGAATTTGAGTTTTTTTCAGAAGGTTATGATAATATTTATTTGTTATGATAATATTTTGTCGCTTGTATTTAATCCTTGGGGATTAGGATCTTTCCCATTCTGAGGAGTCCAATTGATACTTCCCATTATTTTTTAGAAATCTATCACATTATTTTCTCTGGCTACGCTGCACCTAGCTACCACATTTTAAGTAATATTATGTCTTAACATCTGAGGAGAGAAGGAATGAACCAAGGTATTCATGTCTTAACATGGATGGGACCGAAACTTGCTATTATGCACTGGGATTATGTTTCTTTTGTTTTTATTTTGCTAGCTCGTAACGTATATCATTTAATTTTCGGCTCTACCACATGATTTCATACTAATATCTGGTTGTAAGCATCTTTTAATTAAAAAACGTGTTTCTGGGTCTCCTTTGATATTGATATAAGATTTATTGCCACCAGTTTACTTGGCACAGATAAAATAGTTCTCAATTTTGTGCACAGTAGTATACAATCATGTGGCACTCAACAAAACGAGGCGTATCATTTTTTAAATTATATATAGAACTGAATCACATTTAAATCGTGTAATGGCAGTGTGTTCGTAACCCAAGTTCTCCAGGGACAACGACGAATTCATTAGTGCACCACGACAGCCGTTGTATCCATCGACTGCTGTTCGTGCTCGAATCAGGGCAGGGCCAATTGCCCAGATTTCGCTCCCCATGGTGCTCCCAAGCTGCAGCGACAATGAACGCTTTTTGTCCATCCACCCCTTTCTTTCCCCCACGTCCTACAAGGCTACAACGCACCCTTGGACTGTATTCATGTGGTAGTGACTCAAGCTTACGTTATGTGTGAGCGTTTGGTTCATTGGTTGGTTTCCAGTTATGCTTTGGGAGGCAAGATTGGGTTCAGACGAGTTGAGCTACCTGTTCTAATCGTAGAGGCTGAACTGCGAGTTTCAGAGGGCCATGTGCTACGTAATGGTGTGATCTATCTATTTTTCTTTTCTTTTGATGATAGCAATTTTTTGTTCAAGCGAAGGCTTTTGTTGATGTCCCAATGTGAAGGTACAACGCTGGCTCATATATCTTCATATTTTATCCTGTCTACAAATCTCCCAGATTTTAGTTTCCACTTGCTTTGAATCAACGAAAAGGAGACATCCAATAATTTAGTTCCCTCTTCCCTTGTAGAGTTGATGTTTCCTCTTCCTTTAAAGAGTTGATGCACAAGATTCATCCTGGGCCAAAGTTTGTGGAATATTTTCCAAAAACCAGTATAAACAAGAACCTATTATGAGATTATTCACATGATTTATCATAGGGCATGTATAGATTTGGTGCTAGGCACAAGTGAAGAAATAGAAATATTTTCCATCTCCATGCCATATGTTTCTTTTTCCTTATAAAGAACTTGTTTGTTTTCTAGATTATGGTTGTTCGGTTCATTGTCCCTGCTCCCTGCACCCACAAAGGTCAATGTTCAAGCAACAATCTTTAGCTAATATACCTTTTGACATTTGCAACCATACCAAGATTAAATTATAAATGAGATGTATTTGTAGTAAATTCATGGCCCAATATTGCAGATGCAGCTCACGAACAAATTTATTATTCAAGCACGGTTAGAGAGCAGCCTATGAATCGACTGCACCATTTTGAGTTGCTTTATTTACGAAGGCCTTCATGCTTGATCATGTGGAAAAAATGTTGGCATGCAGACCCGCAGGAGGCTATAAGAAAATTATCTAATGACATTGCAAAATCTGATAGAGATTGGCTTGTCAGGAAGTGTTCTTGAACAAAGAGATTAGCATAAGGAATTATAACTGTGTTCTTTTTTTGCAGCAAACCATTTTGATAGGTAGTTCTGGTAAGGTAGTCTGTTTTAACATTCTTTTGCTCAGACCACTCTCTCATCCGCACTTAAAAATCCATAATCTGCTCATTCTATTCAGAACATAGTCTGTTTTAACATTGTTTTGGGAAAGAGGCATGAAGCACACCATGTAACCATTACTGTTCGTGCTAATTAGAAGAACGACAAGAAGAGATGTCTAATATAGTACTAAAATCTTGTGTGATGTTTTAGAGGATGGCGAAGGCGGTGCAGGGAGCTGACGGCCTGTCCGCGGTGAGGAGGTGATGGAGAAACAACCCCACACTTGATGGGTAGGTGCAGGGCGGGGAGGGTGCCGGCCAGGAAGGTGACGCTGCTATCAGCGGCGAGGTAATCAGGAAGGCGACGATGCTTCCGTGCGGCGAGGGGATTAGCCTGGGGATCTGTTCCTTTTTTATGGGATATATGTCTCTCTTTATTTGCGTGGCTTGCATTATGCGTGATTGTAGGGGTTTTGGTGGAGTGTGCCTGAGTTTGTATCCTCCTCTGCGGTGGAGTATGGTCAGTCAATGTAAATCTGAAAGTGCACACTGGAAACATATTACATTAACACTAGCCATTAGATTGAACTCAGTGGGCCTAATCATGTGACGCGTTTAGTAAAGATTATGTTTGATATTTATAGCACATTTACATGGTAATCTTTGTTTTTTCCAGGAATATATTGGGCTCATACATGATGCTCCCTGATCCTGGAAAAATGAACAGAGAAGACGTTACTGATTTTGAATAAATTATTTTGTAAGGTTCACTACTACTAAAAATATTTTAGTACTGTAGAGGAACACCGTCAAATGTGCTTTGAGTTGTGGCTGCTCATATTTCAGGCATTTACAAGGCCATCAAGATGGTCAAAACAAAGATTCATGTATCCATGAGCGCTTGTCAAATTTATGCAATTTTGTACATGAATGGGTATCTTTAAGAGTGGCTTCAAAGTCTATATCTGAGATGACGGCTCTCGGCAGAAGGCGAGGGCCCGTCTATTAGACGGATGACCACGTGGTGGCTTTCTATTCGTTAGCGTTTGCAGAGAGCAGGCTCTCGGCAAAGATCAGTGAGTAGCTCAGACTTCATATGAATAATCAACTAAAAGAATAGGTGAGTAGTTGAGACTTCATATAAAGAGCAATCATGTCATAGGTATCCACGCATTTTCTGTTTATATCATGGATGTATCTTCGTTTCTGATTTTTTGTTTTGGACAGCTCAAACACCTTGTTTAATACTTCCTTCGCTCGGACTAACTGTTGTTGAAACGAGTGTATCTAGATACACTCATTGCAACGAGAGTTAGTTCTGGGCGGAGCTTGTATTTACAAGCCTTTTTTGCCAACTGTTCAAATAAGCTCTTATTTTGTGTAAATGGTCAAACAATGCACTTCAAATAATTAAGTTGTTATCCCAGGAATATTTTGGAAGATGTTGTACTTATCATCTCAGATAACCCTTATTCATTACACAAACTGCATATTACATTTCTGTACTACTATAGATGTTTGATATATTGTGCGTATAGACTAGCACATATCACATTTCTTTGCAACTATAGACTAGCATATCACATTTCTTTGCAACTATAGATGTTTGACATAATGCGTGTTAGTACACACATGCGTCGCACGTTCAAGCTTACTAGTGTAAAGAAAAAGAGTTTACCCAGGAAAAAAAAAGGAACAGTTGCTAGCGCAGAGTCGTCGATCGACATCCACCCTGGACGGTTCAGACCGGTTCCTACGCTGCTATGTAACTTTCGATCGTACGTAGTACGTGGCCCACCCTCAGCGCGCGCGCGCAGACAAGTCAAAGTCAAGAGTAGTTTTCAAGAGCAACCTCAGCAACGTCGCGGTACGCCACCGGAATACAAGTCGCCGGCCGGGTGGGTGCGCGCGAGGCTGGGCGAGACCCATCCAGGTCGCGTATATATGAGTGAGGACGGCGCCGGCTTGAGCGGGCATCAGTCTTCCCAAGTTGCAAGACCATGGTGCGAGCGCCCTCGCCTTCTTCTCTCCTCTACGCTCTGCTGCTCGTCGTGACCGCGCTGGTCGGGCAGTACCCGGCGGGCTCGCTGCGGGTGGCGACGGCGCAGACCGTGGCGGCGCCGGTGCCGGTCCGCGTCGGGGTGATCCTGGACTGGTCGACCAAGGCGTCGTCGGCGGTGTCGCTGAGGCGGCGGACCGGCATTCAGATGGCGGTGGAGGACTACTACGCGGCGCACCCGGGCTCGGCCACCAGGGTGGAGCTCCACTTCAGCGACTCCAAAGGGGACGTCGTCGGCGCCGCTTCCGCCGGTAAGCTCCCTCCCTCCCCTGCCGCACACACCTGTTCCACTTCCACCTAGCTAGCTGCTGCATGCTTTTCTAATCATAAGCTCTTTCCCTTCATGCTGAAATGAATCTTGCTTCTCTGATTAAGCCCTTAATTACGCCGCGATAACACTTCAAATCGCACGCTCGTCTTGAGCACCATCTTCCGTTTTGAGTTTTCCAGTGGTGGATGCTGCGCGCGTATGCAGTATGTTTTTTTAGTGAAGCGTCTATGTAGTATGTGGTGTATCTTCTATATCTAAATAGCTGGACTCCACTAACTATTTCTCTCAGCATGCAAGCATTGCCATATCATGGCACAACATGGATGAAAAAAGATCCACCTCACTATCATATGTCTCTCAACATGCAAGCATACCACTTCATCATGAAATATGCATGAAAAAAGACTTACCTCAACATGCAAAAATACATAAGAACTTTTATTCTATTATGCTATTTATATTTAATAAACGTTTCACAACTCTATAGTAATCAAACGTAGTAAATTATATGTATTTTAAGTTTTAGATCACTTCAAATATTCATGTTTCATACAACGAATCATATTCATATTCCTGCAACAACGTGTGGGGTATCATCTAGTTAAGTATTATGTGCACCTTGAGCCATCTAGATGTTGTATGATCCACTATTTATCGTGTCATGTCGCATCGTGGCCTTGTCGCCATTTTGTCTGGGCAACTAGCTAGCTCCTCGATCGTCAACACATGGATGGCGATCGCACGGGGCCTCAGTTTTTTATTATTTTTATTTAGTGAAAATGATCAGATCTATTTAAAAGTTTGTCGGAAGTACAAAGCATTTCAGATATAATGAAAATTACACAAAGATTATAAGATCACCGAACAACCACCACGATCGCACGGGGCCTCAAGTTAACAACCACGACATCTCCATCGAACTATGTTGGAATCCCAACTAATCCAACCCACATGGCATAGACTGTCACTTTTAACCGCTAATGATGGACTCCGGAGCGTAAATATTCGTTAGTTCTGTCAGGTTTGTCAGGGTCGGGTGCATAATTATTGTTGAGAACTCCATGCCATCCACGTCACCTTCTCACCCTGTCCATCCGGTTGACAAGTTTAATGAAATGAGTGAAATATTTTTTCTGAAATGAGTAAAACCAATTTTCATATTATCATATATATGAAGTAGATTTCAGTGTGAAATATGTGAAACTTTTTTTGAGATGAAAATATGTGAAACTTGTTATTAAAAAACATGAAATTGTTATCTAAAAAAATGTAAAACTGATTATTTCAAATTAGTTTTTCGAAATTGGTGAAATCATTTTCTAAACCGTATGAAACCAGACTTTTGAAATATGATATTTATGAATGTGCTCATTTCTGTATCCAAAAATGATATTCGTGAAATATATTTCACCAATATCATATTTCAATTTGAAATACAAATTCACAAATATTAGTTTTACATGTTGAAATATGCAGCCTTCACAAAATATCCAAGGAACAAACAAAGGATGATGGATGTTTTGCCATTACATACGGCACCGGTAGAAAACCCATTTTCATGCACGTCCACTTCTCACCTTGCCCATCCGGCTTAATTAGGTTATTTGGACTGGTGTGCGTCTGACTGACAAGTCTTCGCGGTCTGGTTCTCCACCGCGTGCGCGTGCCAGCGCGCGAGTTGGTCAAGCTAGCAACTAGTGGCCTGTATATTACTCACGGTGAGTACATCTGATTGGGACTGATTGATTTAACCCCAAGTGTTAGCTAGCTCATGCAGTTGTACATTGGTTTGGCACGACACGACAGAGATGCCTCAAACGCCATGATCCAAGTTTCAACTGGTGTGGTCATGTGGGCGTATGTGCACCATGCATCGATCGGGTCACCGCCGTCTGAACGCTCGGTCGTCCAAGTTTTTAATGCTGAAAATCTTTCTGCCCTATAGTTGTCATGGCTAGTCATCAACTCTTCATCATCATCGATCGGTCATCAGTGGATACCTTTGCTTAGCCACATGCATGCAGTCCAAGCTAGTGCTCTCTTCCTTTCAAAATAATTGGAGTTCTAGAAACTTTTTAAGTCAACTATTTAAAATTTAACGATGTCCGTAGAAATATCCGTAAAGATCTACTCCCTCCGATCCAAAAAAGAGTGTTGTGGCTTAAGTTCAAATTTAAACTAAAACTAAATTAAAGCCACAACACTTTTTTTTGAATGGGAGGGAGTACAATAATAATAATAATAATAATAATAATAATAATAATAATAATAATAATAATACATAAATATATTTCATAATTAATCTGATGGATTAATTTTGGTTTCGTAGATGTTGGTACATTTTATATAGAGTTGACCAAACTTAATAAAGTTTGATTTAGGACAATCCTAAGACTTCAAGTATTTTGGACCGGAGAGAGGAGCATCCATGTTGTCTTGCTATCCGGTCAATTGGGATTATTCACAATAACAAATTTATTATTTTTTTCACATATCCTATATACCTAAGGCCCTGTTTGGTTCATAAGTCCTATGACTTTTTCTAGTCCCAACTAAAAAGTCCCTTCCTGTTTGTTTTCAGAGACTAAAAAGTCCCTAGTCCTTTCCTAGAGGTTATTAAATGTTCATGTTGCCCCTAGTATATAGAAAAATAACAATCAAACAACACCATGGGGTGGCGGGGCAATGGATGAATGGAGGGGCATTGTTGGAAAAGTCTCAAAAAGTCTCAAAAAAGACTCACCTTGAGAGTCTTCTTCATTTAGTCCCAAATGCCTAGTTTAGTCCCTAAAAAGTCCCTTCCGTTTGGTAAAAAAGTCTCTAAGAAGGAGTTTTTTTAGTCCCTACACAAAAAAGTCCCTGGAAACAAACACCCCCTAAGAAGTTCATCCCTACTATCAAACATGCATAGATGCCACATCATCAACTCCACTACATTTATTTATTTAAACATGCATGCATGAAAATGCTACCTATACTAATTCCCTCACCGTGCACACATCCCACCATCCACTACTTTTATTTCTCTCAACATGCATGAGAGATACAACTTAATATTTATTTTATAATTAGATATAATCAAATACCAAAAAATCATATGTATTTTAAATCTTTAGTCTCATATTTAAATGCAAGACAACCAAATCTCTTAAAAATAATATTTTTAATCAATTCCCGCATGTTCCCGCCGCAACACACGGGGGTCATATAGTTTCTACAGTTGTTTTCTTCTTGTTTATTTATTTATTGCGGATGGAAAGGAGTTTTATTAATCAACCAGGGAGCAAATTCAGCCTTACAGAGGTCTGGAACAACATACGTCCCCGACCCAGCCACACCACTATGCGGCCTTCAGTTCTACCAAAAGCTGCTAAATAATGGCTAACACTATTCTGTTCCCTACGTACATATGTAACTTAGACCTCCTTCCTTCATTCAGAAGCCTCTGAATCTGATCAATCAGCATAGAATAACAAGACCGGTCTTTCTCTGAAGACTTGATCATGTTTAGCGCGACGAGACAATCCATCTCCACATCTATCGGCTATTGCGCCCATTGCAGGGCGAGGTTAATGCCCTCCATATGCAAGCTAGCAGTTCGGCCTCCAGGGGTTCCGCGCACACCCGCAGTTCTCGGCAAGAGGAGAAGATGATCTGATGCTGTTGCAGAGGGTCATATACCCGCCCCGGGCGTCCCTGTGTTGGCGCAGAAGGATCCATCCACATTCAGCTTAGTACATCCTTCAGCCGGTGGAGTCCATCTAGGTGCAGGCGCACTAGTAGATCCCGTCGGGGCATGTAGTCATGGGGTCCGAGGCCTCACCACCTCCACCACTTGTTTTCCTTTCACCGTATCAGTGGTAGGATTGTTCTGGATGCCCACAAGTGAGTCAATGTAGCTTAGGAGGAATCTCTTCGAGGCTTCTACCGGGGACGCTGGCTTGTTGTGAGTCATTTCGCTCCGAACGTGCCAACAACGCCACAACATCATCATAAGCTCCATCCTCTCCGTGTCAGGAAGGCATAGAGAGTTTGGGCGAGCCACTCTGTGCCCGTCCGCTGGAAGTTCGTCGCATTAGGAATTCGCCAGTGCTCTGCCTTCGCTTGCTATAACGCCACCGCCCTAGGGCATCTGCAAAAAACATGAAACATGTCCTCCTGCTCCATTGCATAGAGGGGACATTGGTCAGAGACCTCCAAACCGCGCCGTTTTTTATTAACCCAGGTGGGCAGGGCACCTCCAAATAAAAGCACAGAGGGCTCGTCGCCCGTCCGGTGCCCTGCTCGCCGCGACTGAAGAAGATCGAAGATGATCCTCCAAAATAGTACTCCCTCTGTTCCGATTTACTCGTAATCAGAACGGAGGGAGTAATTGGCGAAAAAGGGTTTCCCCCCGCTTTGTATACAAAGCAACCAACCGAACCATCCAACGATAGGTGCTGGGACGGAAACAGCACAGTCACGTCCAAAAGAAAAGAAAGAGAAAATACAAGAGAAACAAACGCCGACAACGACGGATCGACAAAGAAACGAAAGAAAATGTATGTGGTCTTAAAATTCATATCGTTGCTAGGTGGTTTACAGATCTGGTTGTAATTTGTATTACATCTGGTATTTTTTATACTTTCATGATTAAAAATGAATAGATGGGATGTTTCTCGTGGGAGAAAAAACTCACATCGTTGCTGTTGTTTGCATGCAGCGCTGGACCTGATCAAGAACGCGCAGGTGCAGGCCATAATCGGGCCCAAGACGTCGGCGGAGGCAGAGTTCGTGGCCCACCTCGGCAGCCGCGCCCACGTCCCCGTGCTTTCCTACTCCGCCACCTCCCCGTCCATCACCTCGACGCAGACGCCCTACTTCGTGCGCACCGCCGCCAATGACTCCTTCCAGGCCACCCCCGTCGCCTCCGTCCTCGCAAGCTTTGGATGGCGCGCGGTGGCCGTCCTGCACGAGGACTCGCCCTTCGGCGCCGGCATCCTCCCAGCGCTCGCCGACGCACTCCAGAGCGTCGATAGCGCGGCGATTGTGGACCGCGTGGCCGTGCCGAGCAGCGCGGACGAAGATGCGCTTGATGCGCTCCTTTACCGCCTCAAGGCGATGCCGACGCGTGTGTTCGTCGTGCACGCCTCGCACAGCCTCGCCGCGCAGCTCTTCCGGCGAGCCAGCAAGGCCCAGATGATGTCCGACGGCTACGCCTGGGTCGCCACCAACGGCGTAGGCAACTTCGTGGACAGGTTCGACCCCGAGGACCTCGACTCCATGCAGGGCGTCGTCAGCCTCCGTCCTCACGTGGCGTACACGAACCAAGTCAAGAACTTTTCTGCGAGGTTCAGGGCGAGGTTCCGGAGGGAGAACCCGGCCTCCAACGATGACGTCCTCAACGACGCCACTGTGACGGGGCTCTGGTCGTACGACACGGCGTGGGCGATCGCCGCGGCAGCCGAGGCGGCCAGCGTCCCCAGCCCAGCATTTCGGACACCGCAGAATAGCACGGCACGTACAGACCTGGACAAGCTCGGCGTGTCGACCACCGGAGAGGCGCTTCTTAGGGCGATTCTCAACACGACGTTCGACGGGATGGCAGGCAGGTTCAAGCTGGTGGACGGGCAGCTGCAGGTCGCGGCGTACGAGGTCGTGAACATCATCGGGAACGGCGCGGTGACGGTAGGATTCTGGACACCGGAGTCCGGCATCTCGCGGGACCTTAAAGACGGCAGCGGCAAGGCTGCGCGGCAGCTGAAACCCATCCTTTGGCCGGGCGAGATGTTGTCCCCGCCGAGAGGCTGGACGCCGTCGCAGAACGGGCGGGTGCTCAAGGTCGCCGTACCGGTGAAGCACGGGTTCAAGCAGTTCGTGGACGTCCTCATCTCCGACAACTCGACGACACCGAAGATCACCGGGTACTGCATCGACGTGTTCAACGAGGTGATGAAGAACCTGTCCTACCCGGTGAGCTACCAGTACGTGCCGTTCCCCGACAGCCCGGACTCGTACGAGATGCTGGTGGACCAGGTGAGTGGGAAGAAGGCGGACATCGTGGTCGGGGACGTGACGATCACGGCGAGCAGGATGGAGGAGGTGGACTTCACGATGCCGTTCACGGAGTCCGGGTGGGCCATGGTGGTGGCGACGGAGCCGGACACGAGCGGCAGCATGTGGATCTTCCTGCAGCCGCTCACCACCAGCCTTTGGCTCGCCAGCCTCGCCTTCTTCTGCTTCACCGGCTTCGTGGTGTGGGTCATCGAGCACCGCGTCAACCCGGAGTTCCGGGGCACGCCGTCGCAGCAGTTCGGCCTCATCTTCTACTTTGCCTTCTCTACCCTCGTCTTCTCACACAGTAATTCATTTACTAACCATCTCATTATTTAACGAAGCATGCATATCGATCTCCTAATTAACCAATCTTTGATGTTTAAATTTTCCAGAGGAGAAGCTGGAGAGCAACCTGTCGAGATTCGTGGTGATCATATGGGTGTTCGTGGTGCTAATCCTGACATCGAGCTACACGGCGAGCCTGACGTCGATGCTGACGGTGCAGCAGCTCCGACCGACAGTGACAGACGTGAAGGAACTCCAGAGGCGCGGTCAGTACATCGGGTACCAAGAGGGCACCTTCATCAAGCCAAGGCTCAAGAAGATGGGCTTCCACGAGCGAAAGATGAGAAAGTACAGCTCGGAGGAGGAGTACGCCGACGCGCTGTCCAAGGGCTCGGCCAACGGCGGCGTGGACGCGGTGTTTGACGAGATCCCGTACCTCAAGTTGTTCCTGTCGCAGCACTGCGACGGGTACATGCAGGTGGGACCTGTGTACAAGACGGACGGCTTCGGGTTCGTCTTCCCAAGGGGGTCTCCCATGACAGGAGATGTGTCACGGGGCATCCTAAACCTGGCTGAAGGGGACACGATGGCGCAGATTGAGAAGGCGTGGTTCGGCGAGCCTGGCACTTGCCAGAATGCGCTGGGCGGCATCGGCAGCGTCGGCGGCTCGTCGAACCTCAGCTTCTGGAGCTTTGGCGGGCTATTCCTCATCACCGGCGTCGTCTCCAGCCTCATGCTGCTGCTCTACCTCGCCATCTTCGCCTACCGCGAGCGCGAGGAGCTCCGGGAGGCGGAGGCGAGGGCTGAGGCTGAGGCCGGCTCCGGGAGCGTGTCGGTGCGGAGGCTGCGCGCGTGGCTGCAGCACTTCGATAGGAAGGACCTCAAGTCACCCACCTTCAAGGTGTGGAACGACGAGTCCGTAAGAAACGGCAGTGACTTTGCGGGTAGGACGCCAAGATGGAACGACAGTGCTGGCGACGCTAGTATGACGCCGAGGGCCAGCGGGGAGGAACACGCCATGGGAGGGACGACCCCGCTGAGCGTGTACATCAGCTCCGAGATGAACGCCGGCTCTTCGCCGGAGGGGACACCAGTATCAGAGATCAGTGAGTCATTCGAGAAGAGGATCGAGGGGGCAACAAACCGTTGTGGAGGTGACAAGGCCAGCGGCCTCTCGGTTGCAGCAGTAGATTCTGCTATCTCCGTTGCTAAATATAAGTATTTTTAAAGGTTACAAGAAAACAATATACGAAGCAAAATGAATGAATTTACGTTTTAAAATATGTTTATATACATTGTACGTAGTCCGTTTTAAAATATCTAGAAAGACATATAAAAGCATTAGTGTCTAATCACTCTTATATTTCCCTACCACTGGTGGAAAAAGGGCCTTTGGTCGCGGTTCGCAACTGCCATTAGTCGCGGTTGCGCAACCGCGACCAAATAGGCGCG